ACTGATTCTTACAGCGCGGGGGGCGAGAACGCTGCTTTTTCGGGGAGGTGACGAATACACATGATACTGGCCGGAATGAAATACGACAAGAATACCCTAAATCCTCAACTCTAAACCCGCATAATCACACACACACACACACATGACGACCTGTAGCTTGATGGACACAACAGGGAAGCTGTGTTGGTGCTTTAGAGAAATATGGCGCGAAACCCTGAACCCTAAACCCTGGTGGACAGGGTACACCATAGGCACGATTCAGATATTACTGTGGGGTTCCTTGCCAGGTTTAGGAGTTTAGGGTTTAAGGTTTAGGGTTATCATGCTGGGGAGTCTTCTCGGGGGCTTTTGAACTTGACTGCAACATGTGCCTCAACATGGACTCCAACACTTCCGTTGAAATCCGATGTATCCCCAGGGTTCCTAGCGTACCCCTATCGTATATTATAGTATATTATAGTATATTATGGTATATTATATGAATTTTGAGAGATGCCCTCTTCTAGCCGCACCTGCAAGCCAACCCTGAACCAATTGAGATGGACAAATCCGTCCAGGTTGTTGTTTCGGAGCTCTGGAAAGGGTACCCATACAGGGAAACCTCAATACTCACTATAGATCCATAAAATGGTAACTCAATTTCATTCATTCGGAGCTCTAGAAAGGGTACCCATACAGGGAAACCCCCATTACTTACTATAGAGTCCATAAAATGGTAACTTAATTTCAACTCCTTAATAGCAATTCACCCTGAAGGCTTCAATGCCTCGCCTGCTGGAGGCAGAAGCTCCTCAAACCTCGACAGAATAGTTGTTTTTGTGGCTGCTCTGTGCTCTGCGTAAGACTGTGTTCTTCTGATAAAATGCTGTAATTAAAAAAGGGGGGAACATATTTACTCTCTACGGCGACTAGAGCATCCCCATGAAATTACTTCGCGATAGGTTGAAACCACATACTAGGCATAGCAGGACCACAGGGTCAAGGGCCCGGATAAGGGCCCTTATGCCTAGCCTTAGAAACGAGCAGTATCAGACTTGGTGCCAGAATGGCATACTCATTGTACGTTCCTAACCCATTTTAGGATGGAAACATGGCAAAGGAAAGGCAAGATATGGACCCATGTGACGCTCAGTGCTGATTTTGTGGCATGGTGACGCGTGTCAAAACAGCTCAGGCTGTTTTTTGGGGTTCTGGAAATATTGCCGAAGCCATGAACACAGAAGAATGCATGCCCATGGCCCCTAAACCCTATTCGCTAGTTTGCATCTTCGATCCTGATACCCTCAGGCGTGTGTCAAAACTTATCTTAGACAAATGCTAGACCCTAAACCCTAAACTTAAAGATACTTAAAGGATATCGGAGCAGTATTTTCAACATGCGTGGAACTCAACGTAGGTGTTTTTTCTCAAGCCCTAGAATCTAGAACACTCTCATGCTCCTCTATACACCTCAGGTCAGTAGGGTAGGTTGAGTCCTGCCCCCACTCATTAACAGTCGATAATAGGGGTCACATTCAAGGCGATATCTACAGTGATATTATAAATATTATCCAACTGTTAATGAGGGGGGTGCAGTACCCAAAGGGTAGGACATAAATATTCTCCAGCTGTTAATGAGGGGGGGGGGGGCAGTAGCCAAGGGTAGGATACCTGTACTTTGAGAAAACCACCATATCGTGAGCAGGTCACCTTGAGGAGCTTTTTTTCTCGGCGTCATGCCAGCCACTTGAGTCCTTGCCCCCCGCCCCTCTCTTCTGAGAAAAATGGAACCCCCAAATAGACCATACAAAGACTACTGTGCTTAAACAATCTTTAAAAGTGGGTTACATGGAGTTCGATGCTAGCCTGGGATAGGTTGCTAGGAAAAATGTAAGGTTTGCCCAGTGGGACTCGCACAGTATGTTGTCACCATCCATGCGTGTTTTCTTGTTTAAGGGTTTAGGGTGTAGGGTACCGGTAAAGTTTGCCGTTGTGCTTGGGTTGTTTCTGCTCTTGTGGCTTCTGCCTCCAGTTCTTGCCCACTATCATTAACCTTTAGTTCAGCCTCATGCGTCCATGTTGCGGATTTAGGGTTTTAGAGGTTTAGGGCTTAAGGGTTTAGGGTTTAGGGTTTTAGAGGTTTAGGGCTTAAGGGTTCAGGGTTAAGGGCTTAGAGGTGGAGTAGCCAGCAGGGAGGGTGGAAATATACGGTTACGCCCTGACACCCTCACCCTACTGCAGGTGCCTGAATCATCACCAATACTATGTTGAGGTCCGTCTGAAATACCCTATACCACGACTATACAAATCTACAAGGAATCCAGGGCCAGAATATTGGTAGTTCTCTATGCCTCTACATTACACAATCCCTACTAAACCCAATAAACGCCTAATTTCCATTTCATGCTGCACCTTGTTCCCATGTGCTTCATCATTTTTCAAAATCATTCAGGCCTTCAGTTCGCTTATACATCAACCTTGGCATCTTACGCCCCCACACCTGAAGCCCTAAACGCCAAAGCCACGAGCCTTCAACCCCTAAAGCCTAAAGCCCTGAAGCCCCTAAACCCTGATACCCATGAACCCCCTAAACCCTACAACCACCCCAAACCCTAAACCCTAAACCCTAAAACCCTAAACCCTAAAACCCTAAAATCCTAAAACCCTAAACCCTAAAACCCTAAACCCTGAACCGCGTAATCTTATCCAAGAAGCTGCTCTTCGGTCAAGCCACACTCTCCGAACCACCACTGAACCTAGCTGGGAAGTTGGCGCTCGGGAGGAATAGTGTTTAGGGTTTAGGGGTTTAGGGTTTAGGGTTTAGGAGGTTTATAGTTCCCTTTAAGTAGATAGAATATTGAGGTTATTTTGGGTTTAATATAGGGATCATGGAAAAGAAAATGGAAACAACTATTTAGGGTTTAGGGCTTTGGGTATAGGGATAATACTCGAATAAGGAATATCGAATGGAGCAGAAAATTTCAACATGAACAGTAGGGTCTAGGGTTCAGTGTGCAGGTTCTTCGGCTCTCAGGCGGAGATAAAAACCCTAAACTCTTTGGGGTCCGGGCCCTCAGGTCAAGTGTCAGAATTACACAAAAAACGGTTGCGGCGAATTGGATCGATCTGTGTGGTGATAGTCATAGTAACTACTCCCCTTGCCATACTGATGAAGGTGCCCCAAACCTAAAACTAAAACATATTTCCCAGTAGCATGCACAGTGAATGCATTCGTATTTGTGTGTATTTATATGTATGTATGCATGTACATTTACATGTGTATATATATATGTATAGATATGTACATCTATATATATATATATGTATACATGTATATATATATATATTTGTCTTTCCCCTTTACAGGAACTGTTGCCACAACGGGTACTAGGAGTCATACTAGCCCCTTAATAGAACTCCTTTAAGGACAGTTACTGTAAAGGGCAATGACCCAGGGTGTAGTTCATTTCAGGGGTAAAAACCTAGTGACTAACCAGCTGCTGCACAAGTGATGTTTGCTGCCGCCTTCTCAAACATCAGGATGGACCGCGTGGGGAAGGCACGAGCTTGTAGACCCTACTCTTGCCGTTGGGAAGCTGTCAAGCAAAATCTTGACCTAACAAGGAATCTTCAAAAATGCCTAAAACGCTTCACCGACTGATACGTTTTAGACGGGGGCTCTACGGGGTTCCATGTTGGTTTGGGTGTGAGCGAATACTGCCGGGAAAGGTTTGGGGGTGCCATGCGTAAAGACCTTCATGTAATTTGCATGATCTCGCCTCAACTAGGTACTTCTCACACTTACTTAGAAGTTCATAGGGGGTTATGAGTGGTGTTGTGAGTCCCTGAAAGTAGTCTATGACTCTGACTATGGATATCTTAAGTCTAATCCCAATGATAGCTATTGTCCCCCTTAAGTAGCTAAAATATGGCTTTGGGTATGTTATAATACGATCCCCCATATACCCCATGTTCTATCTACTTAAGGGAGACTATACCCGTGCCTCCAAGTAGGACCCCCAAACCGAGTCAAGGCTTCCCTTCATTACGGCCAACTTTTTCGGACTGAAGCACATCCTGTACAAAGAGTCCTTCCCAAAACCAGGGTGGAACTCCTCAACTTTCAACCCTAAAAACCCTAAACCCTACTAAGACCCGTGTCCTTTTCACCAGGGCCTGTGTGGAGCTCCAAGCCTGTTTGGGGAGGGTAAGGCTCCCCGAAAAAGGGACCAGCCTGTGCGGAGCTCCTATGGTCAAGCTGTTTGACTATTTGGGGCTTGGGGTTTAGGGGTCAGGGTTTAGGGTTTAGGGCTTAGGGTTGAGGGTCTAGGGCTTAGGGTTTAGGGCTAAGGGTTTAGGGTTTTCTCGTATGAGCCCCATGCTTATCATAATCTTTGTTCCAGGGGTTGCCAAAGAGGCCCTTCAATTGTTGAAAGTGGTAAATTCCAGAGCCGAAGCATTCGAAAAAACCTTCCCTGACCCATGAAGGAAATCTGTCCCTGACATGCTTTATGTAGACATAGACATAGACCCGTGATTAAAACACAAAGTCCCCTTAATAGGGCTTGAAACTAGGGATCCTAATGTTACGGCCCTGAAAAGGAGGGGGTGATTTCAAACAAGGCTTATACCAGGGATCCTAATATTACGGCCCGTAAAAGGAGGGGGTTTACTAATCACAGGTCTAGATCAGGTATCAGGACAATGATTGTGCTGCAGGCAGGAAACAGAGTCCCTGGCAGCACTGCTCCTTGTACTATGATCTTCTCAGATGGGTTGATAGTCCCCCTTAATTAGATAGAATATGGGGCATATATGGATCTTATTGAAATATACCCAAAGCCATATTCTATCTACTTAAGGGGGACTAGAGGGTTTAGGGTTTCCTAAGCCTTCCAAACCTCACACCTCAAACTCTGAGCCCTCAAGGTACCAGGATTCTGGATCCAATTTTGCGGCGGGGTCTGAACCAGCATGCTGAGTTTCGGGATTAGGGTTTAGGCATTTTCTTCCTACTGCTCCTAGACTTGCTTGCTTGCGACAATACTGTACATCATGGGCAGCAGCGGGCTTCCAGCTGGCAGCTGATACCTGGCGATTCAACAAAACAAGGGGTCCCACTTCTATATCCTAACACCTAACATGCCATAACTATAACCCTGACTGCAAGAAAGAGCCAAAAACGAGTCAAAAAAGACCACTGGTTGAAACAACCCCCCACCTGGAATCTTGTGGCAGCCCATCCAAGCCAGGTGTTCCTGTGTCTCTTCGCTCAACTTGTGGCACGCTAGGGTCAGGATAGGGGCGCATGTCCGCGTACATTGCCCATCCGTTGACATACGGGTATTCAGTCAGCGACTGCACTTGCAATTTCTTGGTTGCTAGCAAGCTCGACACAATATCCCCTACACCCCAGGCGTACTCAACCGCCGGGCTTGAATTCTGAAAGGCAGGATCTTGACCCACATAATCTGACACCCCATCTGTACTTGGATACCGGGCCCCTCCCAGGCAGTTGTCTTTGAGCGTCATGGTTTTCAAGTCCAACGCCATGGCGACGGCATGGAAGTCGATTATCACGAATCGCCCGCCGGGTCGCAGGACACTTGCAATACCTTCGGCCCAAGCCGTCAAATCACACAGCCAGTTGACTGTACCGTAGCTGGAGTAAACTACATCCACACTGCTTCGATTGGCTGGGTCATTGAGATACTCCAAAACATCGCAGCGAGTGAAGCAGACATCTGTACCAGGATCAAAGCATGCCTTTGCAAGCATCTTGTCTCTTAGCTCCTCTGCAAAGTCAATGGCAGAGTCACTGATATCAACACCATGGACCTGCCGCGGCCTCAACCACCGCGCCATGGACACCGTGTCTTGCCCATCATTACACTGCAGGTGCAACACTTGCTTTCCCTGCAGCTCCCCTAGCAACTCCAGATCCTCAGCAAACAGCTTGTTGCGACCTTTGTCAACATAGTCGCTAATTAGCTCCGGCTGGTGCGTGCGGTGCTGCTTGGTGGCCTCATTCCACGACTGACGGTTGAGCTCATGGTCGTGGACAGGTGGCGAGGACAGGTCCATGGCAGGAAATACAGGCCCAGGGATATCCCAAGGGGAACAAGCAGCAGCTGCGAGTTACCCACAACTGATGTCGGCATGCACTGCTTCTGATCTTGCCATCATGTTTTGGCAGAAGCATGGGAGGCCAATAGTATCATCTCACTACTCCCCTCACATAGCTTCCAACATAGGGACCTAAATACTGACAAATTTTATCGTAACATGCATGTGAGGTACGCTTCACCGTAACTGATTATATTATATCAGGAATCTAGGGCCATAATATTGGTAATCACTTAGGCTTCTGCACTACTGGACTAGGATAAATGGCCAAGCTGAGGCCAAGGCCGTCGATTGCAGCGCCGTGGTGTTAGTGTGCTCCTTGTCGAATGGCAGCAGCATAGCCTTGGCTCATGATCCAGGGTGTAGGGTTTAGGGTTTAGGGACAATGATGCACCCCGGCTCCTTCATACTAAATGAACCCTGCGGAAACCTTAGTGCGTGGCTGTGCTAGCTCGAGAAATAGTCCTTCCAACCCTGGGCATGAAAGATCTTTCTTGCAGATACGAAAGGAAACCTATATCCTCAAGGTATGAGGGATCCCTGAACGACGGGGTGAGATGAACATCACGTTCCCTGGGCAGTGCGGGTGGTCACTAAACTTTCTACTGTTCTGGCTATGCAGCAGTCACGTGCCCGTCGCTTCCCACGTTGGACGCATAGCGCAAGGCCGCCTCGAGTACGTGCGCGCTTAGATTGTTTTGTAGAGCCTACATTTTCCCAAATTGTCTAGTCTACTAGTGATAAAATTTACGCAAAACTTGCTAACATTTTCCCAATTGGTTTAGGATTCTGCTTTGCTTGTAAAGTTGTAATCAAGCTTTAAGAGGTTTGTAAAGCTTCCGTAAGCTTCATTGCTACCACCAGTTGAACATCACCATGAAAAAGCAGATGCGTCGAGGCATATGGAGCCTCACCTTTGGACAATTGCGCAAATTCCTGAGGTGTATCTACATAACCTGAAGAAGGAGGTTTGAAGGTTGGGGAATAAACTTCAATTAAATGGAATAGAGAGAACGGGAAATGAAATGCAAGCTGAGTACGTGTAGGTCTCTATAGGGATGATCAGAAAGCTAGTGGCCTTTGCTGTTGTTACGCAGACTTCCCTTTACATGCGGCTTTCTCAAGCTTAAGCCCCACAAACAGAGGTTTGAATTGGGTAGCTATACTGTTAAGAGTTTTGGGGGATACTTACAATCATATTTACAGCTACCGGTAAACCGGTAAGTAGCCAACATGAAGGTTCTTTAGAACTTTTGGAGTAAAAGATGCATCCGACATTTTTGGGTGTTATGAGGGAGACCCTAAACCCAAGTGAGAAACAATACCCTAAACCCTTAAACCCTACACCCTGAACTCCTGAATCCCTAAACCCTAAACCCCTAAATCCCTACACCACCAAACCCAAAACCCCTAAACCCCAAACCCCTCAACCCTAAACCCTAAATCCCTAAACCTTGAACCTCTAAACAACCAAACCCCTAAACTCCTAAATCCCTGAATCCCTACACCCCAAGCCCTAAACCCCTAACCCCAAAACCCCTAAACCCTACACCCCTGAACCCTAAACCCCTAATCCCCAAAGCCGTACTAAACCCTAAGCCCCCCTAAACCCCAAACCCTAAACCCCTCAACCCTACACCCCTAAACCCTAAACCCCTAATCCCCAAACCCTACATCCCTAAAACCCTAAATTCCTAAACCTTATAGACCCAAAACCCCTAAACCACCAAAACCCCAAAACCCTAAGCCCCTAAACCACCAAAACCCTAAACCCCAAAACCCCCAAACCCTTATACACTTTTTTGGGACAGAGCCCTACCTTGCTCGGCTCCGACAGATATGGATTGGCATCCGACACGATCAGCAGCACACGTCGCGGCTGGCGGGGGGTTGGGTTTAGGGTTAATGATTTAGGGTTCAGGGTTTAGGCTTAGGGGTTTAGGGTTAAGGGTGTCTCAGTGAGGGGGTGCGCTGGTGCTGGAAGCACCCAGGCGCGCACCCCGATCTGCATGAGCCCACCCCAGCTGGCGCTCCACCCTCGCGTTGACCTTCACGGGTTTAGGGTTCTCCTGAACTCTGATCGTGCTCCTGTTCTTTCACCCGTGAGCCGACTGCCCGAACTAGAACCGAACCGAAGCCAAGCGAAGGCAGAAAAAAGGCCAGGCCTTGTCTACGTTCAAATGTGTCCCAGGAAGAAGCAAAGGATGTCCAACAAGCTCTCATGCGAGGCCCTCGAGCCTTGAACCAGGTGGACTTGTCCAGACTAGACGGTGCCAGTTTGGGTTTGGGGGTGGCTCGAAACCTCTAATTTATTTTTCTTCAGATGGCGCCCTGACTGGAGGCCTCCACCTGTCTATGGCAGGTGGGCAATCTCTTGGCTGAGTCTGGCTCAAGGCCGCTTGTGCTTATTGAGCTTCCTTTCCAGGTCCGAACAAAACGGGTGCAAGGTTTGGATTTGGTCTGGAAGCTGGACGTGTCCAGACAGGTGCCAGTTTGGGTTTGGGGGTCAAGGCGTCTAGTTTTCTTCAGCTGACGGAAGGCCCTGGCAGGTCTGGGAAGCCCTGTAAGGCCCGCTGCTGGGGAGGCTCTGGGAGGCTTGAGAGGTGCGGGAAAAGGCGTCGCGGCCTCAGTGCGGTTTTGGGTCGGCAATGAAGCCGGAGCCTGGCATTGCTTGGGAGGCCGGTTGTCTCTATGGCAGAGGGGCCTTAAGGGGGGCCTTGGGCAGCCTAAAAGGCCATCCAAAAAGAACGATTTGGAGGACTCAAGGTTTGGGGTCGACCTGGCGGCCTGCCGGGCTTACCGCGCAGCCCACGCTGATTGTTTTGGGCTCCAGAGCTGCCTCGCCTGCCGGCTTCGGCGCGTTCGCCCTGCTCGATGGCCCCGGGCTCACTCAGTTTAGGGTTCAGGGTTAAGGGAGTGCGGGGAACTTTGGGCAAAGCAGTGCTTCAAACTTTCTGGTCGTTGTACCTACCTCCGGTTCGCGGGGAATGAAGGAATGGATCCTTGTAGTAGCCCTATATAACCCATTATTGTACTTTCCAATTTCTTTTCCATTCCTTCTAAACCCTACACCCTAAACCCTCAACCTTGTAAACTTATATAAACCATTCATGTCAATTTCCATTTGCTTTTCCACTCCTTCATTCCCTACTAACCAGAGGTAAGTCTAGGAAGCCGCAGCTGCCTTAGCTTCTGCGTTGTCTAGGCATGAACTGAACTTCGGCCCACGACTGAAGGACCTCTGCTTGCTTCAAGGATGACCCTAAGCATTTAGGGCTTAATGTGATGGATTCTCCCCTTGCAATAAACACTCGCCCAAAGTCTACCTTATAATGTGAGCCCAGATAAAACGAGCAGCATGTTTACTATGAGGTTACAGGAATGAGGATGTTTGATAGGGAAGCAATTGCCGGCGTGAAGTCGATCAATGTTAACACTAATAAGGAGCACAGCACCCGTCTTCATGCTCAAAACAATGCTTTGCGCCCCCCTCTCCACTAAACTTACCCTAAACCCTGAACGGTTGCCTCTGAAAAGGGAAGATGTAGGGGGGCGCAAACCCTACAACCATTCTTCCAACCTGAATTTTAAGCTGACAAAACCGCCTTTGCAAGCCCAACTTGCTTTTGAGCCCGACTACCCTCAATTTCTTCTCAGTTAGAAGCTGCGAATTCCCGGATTCCATAAATATAAGCTTCAGAATAAATTTCCAAATGCTGCTTGGGATCTCTCAACAGTACTCCTCCAACCACTTCTTACTGGGCACGCCCATAATCCCAACATAATCCCAGATATCCCTGCGCAGTCCCTATGGGCCACCCTTTTGAGAAACACCGCGTCTTGCCGTTGTGGACGCCTCGTCCACTTCACTGGCGGTCTTGGTTGGCGTAACCGTTTCAGCCTGACAATTTCTTGAACAGCTATCCGCTTCAAACGTGACAAGGACCGCTATGCTCCCTGAAGGTACTCGCGGTAAAAGTCCCTTGAGGGGGAAAAGCCTTTCAAGAATGAACCTCAAGCAATAACCCCTACATCCCCATCAGCCTCTTTAAAAAGGTCCCTGAGGGCAGCTCTGTTTTGAGAACTCTCTATGTACCAGTCTGATTTGGGGTGTGTCTCGCCCGACTAGTGTAACATGCCCCCGAACAGACAGGCCCTTTAAAGACTAAAGTCCGTTTACGTTGGACAAAAGGCTTTGCAGCTTCAATGTTCGGGGGTCCGATGCTGCCTCTTCTGCGTCTTCTCGTCTTATTGTCACTCTAGTACTTAGACAAGCCAGAGATTGTTTTGATATCTTATTGCAACTATGGTGCTGTTAATGGCTACAGTTAATTGTGGTTACACATGAAGGGGAAAGTAAGAAGGTAGAAGATCTATAACGCAGAAGCTTCCCTTTGCTTTGTACACTGATGCATGCCGTCATATCTATTGCAGCTGCTGTCTTACTTTTTGACTTTCTAGCATTGCTCTGTGCTTTTCCATGAGCAATGGGCCATAGTCAGCTACCTGGGTGGGCCATTTTGGGGTTTAAACCCTAAACCTGGAAACCTAAGCATCTGCCCTAGATTCTTCGAGTGCTTAGCTTAGGAATCCACACCAGGAGAGCATGGTGTTGGGACATACTACGATAGTAGGTTACATTGGGATAATGGAAAATTAAATGGAACCTACTACAATAGGTTATGTTGGGATAATGGAAAATAACACGGAAACTGCTACAATAGGTTATGTTGGGATAATGGAAAATAAAACGGAAACTGCTACAATGGTTCATGTTGGGATAATTGAAAATAAGATGGAAACTACTACATTATAATGGGTTATGTTGGGTTTAGGAAGTCCATTTGCAACTGGAACCTGTTTATACCTGTACTTGTGACCCAAGTTTAAGCCCTCTAAGCCCCTTGATCTGGTCAACGGTTGGTACGTACCTTTATGGATAGGTTCTAGTCCCCCTT